AACACCTATGGCAATTTATAGTACCTGAAGTAGGTCTATATTAAAAAAGCAAGAATAAAATCTACCGTACGCAGCTTCTGAGTCATAGCTCTCCTGTTTTGCATCTCCTGTGGAGGTAAGATTCAAGATGCTGCATGTTCAGGCCAACCATGAGCCTAGTGGGGGATTTCACCCAGGTACACAGGGCTGCCAGCCTGCCTCAACACAGATGCCATCTTGTCTGGGACAAGATCTGTCTGGGACAGATCTATGAGATTTATGGCTGATAAATCAACAGTATTTATAAGAATAATGTAAGTTTGAATAGAAAAAAATCGCATCATGACCAAAAAACAGGTTCTGTGTGTTTGCAAAAGCATGTTCTGCATAAGTATCATATGATGCAGAATTAATCCAGTGGTTACCACAATACCCTGTGAGCCAATGACTGTTCTCTAAACTGTTACTGGTCCCTGTAGGTAGCAACACATGAAAACTCACTTCCCTATCAATCCTATTGCCTCTAAGTATAAAGAAAACTGTTAAATTGCTGTTAACAGTGTCACTGAACATTTTCTATAGCACCTTAGCACGCACTGCCAGAATAATGCTCCTTAGTATGAGTGCATAGTCAACACATCGGTCATGTAACAAGTGTGAAGAAATTCCCTACTGTTTATATTACTATGTAAATCTAAATCAAACATTTCCATTTTCTTGAGGATTTCAATCAAAACCACATTTACATATGAAGCAGCTTTATGAAGCCTTTCTTAAAAGCATGGCAGCTGATTCCAAACATCTTTTTCTCATTGAGCAGGAGTCTCACTGTTGTATTTGACACCCCATCACTCTCTTACAAAATAATATGTCAGCAATGGGCAATGCCAGCAATTGAACTCTTGCCTCAAAACTCCCAGATTTGTGTCCTCCAAAATCACTAATGTTTTTCCTGGGAGCTGTCAAAACAGGACTGAAAATGTTATAAAAGCATTTGAAAAAGACCAGAACCACTGAGTATTTCTTCAGGTGAAGACTGGAGCAGGAATAAGGATAACAGGCAGAGGATGTATGGGACTAGTTTTACTTTTCATTGGAGAGCTGCATCCTTCAGGAAGTAGAAAAAAAGAAAGAATAGAGATTTTATTTCACACCAGCACAGCCACCATATTTCAGTGACCACTGATGAAATATTAAGGCTGGTTGCTGAGGGATGGGGCATGATGTGTGAGTGGAGGGCTCTGGTGGGGGAATGGAAAGGCGTGGGAGTGGACTGGACAGTTGGAAGGCTATGTAGCAGGTGCGTGGGTGCCTGCCAGGGCACAGAACCATGCTCGCTGTGCGAGCAGCACGCTGCAGAGGGATGCAAGCAGAGGTTGGTTTTTAAGATAATTGCAATGCATTCCCACTCTGAGAAACAGCTCCGGCACAGTCATTTCTGCCACAGACGCCATGGCAGCGGCTGGGGAAATGACCCCAGGAAGAGGTGATATCTTGTGATCCCCCGCCAAGCCCTGCAGCCAGCCCAGCCCAGCCCACCGCAGATGGCCGGAACCTGCTGGGCTGGGTGCTCAGCCACCCACCTGAATTCCCCCTCTGATGGAAATCCTGATTCTTTCACACTGTACACAGCCCCTGCCCAGGGTCCTCATGCCCCAGCAAACACTTCCAGGAGCCCGACTTGCCCCCCAGCTTCTGTCATGCTGCTGCCTCCATTCATAGCCCCCACTTCCCTTGCTCTCCGTTTTCCTCCCTGTAAACCTCTCCTCTGACTCTTCCTTTGGGTTGTTTGTCTATTACTTGTACCTCTTTCTTTTTTTGTGACACATTTCACCATGGAGTGTTGCAGATACAGTCTTTGAAGTGCAGCCCCCTCTCAAGCAATATTTAGCAGCTGCTTTTAGATGCAGTGTGGGAGCCAAGATCTGTACATTCCTTATCATAACGGGAGGCACTTCCTAAGGAAGGATGAAATCCCTGACATCCTCTAGTGTTCAAATCGTCTGTAATGCCCAGATGATTAGACACCAGACATTTGTGCTTAAGTGCTTGTGAAGAGTGCTTTGACAGCAGAGAGAGGATGGTAGAAGGAAAAAATATTTCACCTTCCCCGTAACCTTCTCTGTATTTGGATACTGTCTTTTGCAGAAGCTGAATCATAAAATACTTCACCCTCTGACACACAATACGGAACATGCTAATAACACCTTCGGCGGGTGATAATAGTGGATGACGAACCCAGCAAGCATGGAAGGCACTAGAGAAGAAGGTAGAGATAGTAAAGAGTCTGTAAAAGTATGGAGGCAAGGCCTTTTTTTTGTTTGCTACTACATTGTCAAGGCAACCCATGTGATGGAGAGCACTATCGTCTTGCCAGTTTAAACACAGAAAGGAAAGACTGAAAGATCTGTGTACATAATGGGCACGGGCCAAGTTTTCTTGCAAAGGTCACTGAGACTGAAAGCCTATAATTCCCTCCTACAAAAGGCAAGAAAAGACAAGGGTGGAGCTGGGACCTGGTTTCCCAAACCAACACATGCAGATATAGCAAAAAACTATAGCACAAGGAAGTGCAGCACAGGATACCAGTCGCATCCAAACAGATTTGCTGTTATTTATCATTATTATTTATTTATATTACTGTATCACCTCAGAGTCGTAGTCGGACATGAATCCTATGTTGTCCCTCTCTCCGAAAGGTGACAGTCTATGGGAGCTTAGCTTGTAAACTACGTCAGGGATGAAGAAACTCTTGAATGGAGCTCTAGAGAGCGGCTCTCCCTGATTGATCCACTGTTACTATTTGACATCGTGTGAATAAAATGCCGTATTTTTCTACCATGCTGGGTACATAGCTGGTCATATGATGGGAATTAACTGCATTTTAGTAACACAGTAGGTGCACATCTGGTCTTATAACAGGATGTGATCCATAAGACAATGGACTGTGCAAGCAAATTTCACCATATACAGGATTGCTTATGTATATACTCAATAATGGAGAATGACTGCACTTGGTCACACGATTGACGTACGTCCGATGAGGCCAACTCCTGAAACGCCTATCCTGTAGACAGGATACACTAGGTAGGTAACTGACAGAGTAAAACATTAACAGTGAAACAACACTCAGGAGCATGATGGTTTCACCCCACTAGTGGCTGCATTTTGTCAAGATTTTAAGATTTTATGGCAAAAGAGAACGTTAAAAAATTATGTGATTTATTTTTATTTATTTATTATTGTATACTTTAGGCCTTTTTTCAGTTTCTTGGAGAAAATGGATGTCTAAAGACTTGCAAAGCAAATCTCAGGTCAAAAACACAGGGAGAGTTTCCAGACACTTGATATAGGTTAAGTATTTGGTTACAGGAAACGAGATTTCAACCTGTCATCTTTAGTTCTGAGTTATTGTAAAAACTCTTACACCTTTGAGGCTGCATTACGCTTTAGGCCATTAAGTAATACTTTCTCTTGATCAGTTCAGACCATTCTTTATATTAGCTTCTTTAAGACAGTCATTTTTTTTCTCTACAAAAGCATACTTGACAGTCTTGTAAATTACCAAGACAGACGTCCATGCAGCATGAATTTTATTTATAAAGGATGGATTAGACATGAATGTCACACTTCTTTACAAAAGTTTAAATTAACTACTCAACTCTTGAAAACTGAACGAGTAATACTATTTACATAGGACAATGCCCACCTTCCTTCCCAAAACTTAAACAAAGTGAATACCTACTCTGAAACAAGGACATGAAATATAGAAACACATTGATTTCTAGCAGTTATTTTGTCAATAGCGATCTGAGTCCCTCCAGTACCTTTTCCCTATAAATGAACCTAAAGTAGCTCTTTGGCACAGCCATACTCATGTCTGCACTTCCAGGTCAGTACTGTAATGGACTCAGCCACCTAAAGGCATTTCATCAATATAAGATCAATGATCCTCCCGTTGGTGTATCCAGCAAGAAAGGACTGCCCAAATATTAGATATCTATTGATAATGTCTATACTCATCCTTCCTGCACCTGGACAGAGTGAAGTTAACACTGATTCCATAAAGACAAACATGAAGTTTTCAACTCAGAGAGTATTTCCAAAAACCTAGACAGGGACCATGACCACTGACTTCACATTTAGAGCATATAAAGTATTGTGACCCATGGTGCCATTCTAGATCATGTTTTTAGATTTTCACCTGAATTATTCAGAGATGTAGTCTCCATTTTCTCACTCTTTCAAAGCACCAAATGGCTACAAAATATCCCCAGGAAGTGTATTGGTAGTGTTTCATCTGCTGTCTTGGGTGCACAGGGCCCAGCTTGAAGTCTGCAGCCAGTGCAACGATTTAATCAGAAACCAAGAAACACCAGACTACCACATGTAATAAGTCACTTGCGGGTCAGTCTCTCCATTTAGTCTCTTCACTTACTAAAGGTAATTTCAGTTTCAGGTTTAAATATTCAGATCTCATTTTGTAATCTACTTTCTTGACTCTCTTCCTTATGCTAATAAAACCAGATATATAATTATGTTTCTATCCCAAGAGTCCTGTATGGTAAAACTATCCAGTGTGGCACCTGTTCAAAAGATGAAGGCTCCAACTGAGTTCTCACTATTTAAGAAATACACTTTACAAATCTTCGTATAAAAAGCCTACCTGGATCAATCAGTAGCAGTTTACTACAAAACTGTAACAATCCCTGTTGCCTTGTGCCAACTGGTAGATAAATAAAACTTGTAAAACAAAATCTGCTCCTAAATTTACATTTCCTGTATCTGGAATGTACAAAAAGTTTTCTAAACCTCTTGCTTATGAACTTGCATGTGGTCTTTTTTGTCACAGAAGTGCATTCATTGACCACCCTTCTGATCTAAAATGATTTCCACCATGTGGAGTAGTTTCTGCATCTCTCCCAGGAATTAAGAATGGCTTCCATCAGACAATTAAATTAGAAGAGTCACTTCAGGGTTTGGAAATGTGATCGAAATTTGTCTGATTACATATCATTCTGATAAACAAAGGGAAACAGTCCTGTTTCTGTTCAGAAAACAGAGCCTCTTGAAAGTAATTTCACGAGATGGTGGCAATTAGCTTCTTGTTTCATTTAGGAAATGTGTCTCCTTTCAATTAAATATGTCGTCCAGTCAGGAAGAAAAGTGGTCTGTCTTCTTTTGCATTGGCAGTCTGGAATTCATCCCGCAGCCGGAACTGCCATTCGTCTTCCAGCTCTAGCCGGACCACAGTCTGGCGAAGAGAATTGCGATCCTGACAAATCACACACAGGGTGGCACCTAAGCAAACAGTTAAAAAGAAACTCATGTTGAGTATCCCCTTTTTTCTCAGATCACCCAGCTCCCACCACCCCTTAGCATATAGAACTCCACCACTTTCACAACAGGAGTTACAAATGGGCTCGGGAGAAAATTAAGACCCTCATGTAGGACTGAGGAGTGTTATCTTTAGCTCCCTGTATATCAGAGTCCTCGTGTGTAACTTGAGGTATCTAGTATTCATCTAGTAAACAGAACTAACAATACATTTCCTACTCTTTGGGGTAAGGAAGGGTAAATCTGTCAGGTCTGAGGAGGTGGTGAAGGGCCCTGGCAGAAAACAAGTTAAATCTGTTCATCCATTACTGTTCTAGCCCTACTGATCATTACCTTGTTGAGTGAAACGCTCACTCAGCGAAACACTCACAGCATAAGCCAACCACCGTGATGGCTGACTAAGCTCTTCGTGCTTTGCTGACCAGAAATAGTCTAAACACGTCCGCAAAAGTAATCACAAATGTCAGCACTTTTCAGGTTGATAAGCTAATGTGCTGGCAAATAAGAATCTGATCTGTACGGCTACGAACACAGGCGAAGCCAGAATGCCAAAGTGAGGAATATCGTATTTTAGTAAAGAACAGCAACTGTCTTGACTGCCATATTGATACCATTTTAACTCGCACGCGTGATTTCCTGGCTTCTGAGAAAAGTGCTCAATTAAGAGGAAATCATTACCTCGCCAGCATTCAATACTCTGAGTAAGAGGTGGTGAAGTAGGAGGAAATGCCCAACACAAAAAATGCTCAGAACATAATAAAAAGAAACAAGACAGAGAGTCATGTGGTGTTTAATGCTCATGTGGCTGATTAGAAGGTCAGGTAGACTGTCAAGAGAGATGGAAAAATCCCAAATCAAATACACTTTGTGCTACGTGCTAGAAGAATTGTCTGGTTTATACAAAATGAAATTGATCTATAGCCTCTTGTCACTCAAAAAATGCAGTACAAAAGCACTGCCTTTGTTTGTAGTTACTCCGACAGCCTTGCTAGAGAAACTACAGGCTGATTGAAACGTGGACACTGCTCCAGAAAGAGCATAGACACTGGCACTCATGCGGCTTCGGTGGTATGTGCAGGTAAAAGCACTGTATACCCCAATTCGCACTTTGCTCCACAGACCTACACGAAACTGTGTTAACTGCAACAAAAAACACAGCAGTTCATAACAACTCTGCCTGTTTCACGAAAGCATTTGCTATTCTATGCTATATACTATTCTATACTTTGCTATGCTATTCTATACTAAGGAGGTATTCCTCCTCCAGTGACAGTTATAGCTGCGAGTGAAACAAATCCCCAGGGCGCTAAATGCCTACGATAGCAGCAGAACAATCCAAAAGAAGTTTGCAATGTGACTGCCTGCAATACACATGTAAGTTATTTGTCACCACTGCTATCTACCATCATAAGGACTACACAGAGAAACTGGTTGTTTGGAATAAATTTTAAATGAGCCAGCTTCTATTTCCAAGGACAGTAAATAGATTTTGATGGAGGCTTGTCCATCACTCATTTTCTATTGAAAATTAGAAAATCTGCAAGAACGCAATAGGGAAATGTTTCATACATAAATCTTAAGTACTCAGTTTTCAAACATGAAGTAAGGAGTTATGTATATACACTAGAAAGAACAATATAGACCCAACATGCCTCCCCACTTAGAAATCTGCAGAACTTATAGCACTGTTATACACCAGTTTACTACAGTACAGAGTCATGATGACCAAGCGTCAAAGATGGGTGAGACGTGTAAGGACAAACATGAATACATGCATGTATATTTTCATATAAAATACATTTTTCCCAGGTTCCTAGAGACCAGGTCATATAATTCTCTGTAATAAAATTATTGCAGCTCACCTTTAAGAAAATGAAACTTCTTCAAAAAGCTAGCTACAACAAAGGAGTCACATAGGTATAGCAGGAGACCACTGAATGTCAAACCAGAGGAACTGATATTCAGAGAGTGAGGCCGAGAACTCACATAGCAAACTGCAATCTGATTGGGAGAGGGGGGAAAAAAATTAACATTTTTAAGGCTTCTATATAAGGCTAAGGTTTCATATAAAGCTTTCAGTATTTGTACCTGATTCTAATCCAGACCTGCTTTCCAACTCCAAATATTGTGATCATTATAGCTCCTTTCTAAAAATCCCTCTGCTTATTAAAAAGCTACATAAAAGCACTATCCGTAACTATTTATTAGTCTTTACTATTTTTTACTGTTACTATTGTTATCATTATTATTACAGATTTAATAGGGTTTGAAAGCTGTAGCAACAATACCTCCTCACAAACATAATGCTGTGACCTGCCCAGCACAGTTTATGTATACATGAGTAAATATAGTGACTGTCAGTCGGATACGAAAAGAACCCTTTAGAAATGCCTAATTTCCTTTACATTATGATAAGATTTCTCAAGTCAGTAGAGTGGTGCATATACATAAATGTGTGAGGTTTCCTCCTCTAGTTTGTTTTTATAGCTACTTCCTAAATCCTCTAGGAACTGGGAATACTTATAGCACTCTGTCAGAATTTATAAATTTAAATTCCACACAAAACCTTGTTTCCAAAGTGCTGTTTTACTACCTAGTTTGGGCAGACCCTCATCTAGCAAAAATCAGCATGATTCAGTGGAGGAAGGTTGACCCACAGCAATTGAGACTCTTGTCCAGGATGCCTATGTTTATCCATATTCCTTCAATCCTGTTGTGTCATATTCCAGCTCAGGTAACAATTTCACCGCTGAATTGAACTGATTTCATGTGCTGGATGGGTTAGAGCTGAAAGGATGCACTGGATGAAGACAGTAACAGTACAATGCTCTTCTACAGAGTTGGTTTTTCTAAGCATGGTGGGAACGTAGATGTGTAAGAGCTCAGACAGAGAGCAAATTAAAAGATATAGTTCAAAATGTTCTGGGAGCAGCATATATGGGAAGGTCATTACACAGTTGTTTTGGTACAGAAGTTTAGTAAATCAGGCAAGACTGAACTTCATTTAGTATTCGAGTCAGGTGGAAAGGTAAAAACAGTTTCTCTCTCCTGAACACCACCTTAGCATCATACTTCTATCCAACCTACATTTGAGTTTGAGTATGATCTTGGGTTTAGATCCAAACCCGTCAGAGAGAGACAACAACTCCTGGGATCAAATGTCAGCTTCTCCCATTTTGACTGTTTTCTTGGTGTTTGCTTCTCTGCCTCAGCTTATCAGTCAAAAGTGAACTAAAACATTTGTATTTTGAAGTGCTTTCTAAGGACTAGCTAATATTTGTAAAACCCTCTTGTGGAAGAAATTAGCTGTAGGAAAGGCCAAATTACAGTAGATTGAGGAAACACTTTCTAAAGAAAAATATGCTCTGTGTTAATTCAGAATCTATTATGATCTACAGATAGTATTAGTTGTAGGACAACTCTGGTATTGTTCTCCATGTACTCTACTTGTAGTGTCTAATAATATCTTTATGGGACTAAGAATTTGATTTTAACATTATAGGGATCTAATATCTGATTCTTCAAAGACCGTCTAACTATTTTTAAGGAATGCATCAATGAACTCATCCAAAACATAGCCTATACATTTCTAAAGCTGCTTGAAGATTATTTTGTTCAGTACCTGTGGTCCTAAGTTAAGATAACAGTCCACAGATAGCACTGGATGGCTGTAATTCTTCAGTGAGAGAGGGAAAAAGCGATGGCTGTGATACTGGAGATATTTTTCAAGGAGCAGCTGAGCAGGTGCTGCCAAGAAGGTATGCTTGCTGTCAGGAGCACAAATGTACTGAGCAGGGGAGATTGAAACTGAAGTGTCAGATACCTATGAGGAAAAAATATTTCTGGTACAGATCAATCCTGATCAATCAAATTGTACTTATCTGAATTTTAATTTGTATAAAATATATCTCTATCCTACAAATCCAAAATTTATATAAGAAGCAAAGTCATTCAGCCAAAAACATCTGCTACCAAAAAAGTTTCAGAGTTTCACAGAATTGTTCTTGTATTTATAGAGTCTTTGGGGTTTCTACTTTGAACCCAAAGTACTCATACACATGAGGTCATACGAAGATGAGCAATTGAATAGCTATAGATAAAAAATTCATAGTGACTGGTTACCTGGACCATAAAGAGACACTTTGGGTGTTTTTAAAATTTTTAAAGGAAAATGATTAAGGGAAGGTGTATTTATGCCAAGAATATTGTGAATTTCAGAAAGAAAATAAAAACAAAACACAACAAAACAAAGCATTACTGGCAACTGGTGATGCACCAAAACACCTCAGCTCTACTGGTTACAGGGTACAAAAAGGAAAACAGAATTTTAACAACAATGAAACAGAGGTCTTAGTTCTCACCTTAGACTTAATGTGGAAGGATCTCTGCCCTCCTACTGCAATTTGCTTTTTCATGACACTGAAGTGATTGAACCGACAGATGAGAAGGTCAGCACTGTGGACACGCAAGTTGAAGTCAACATCATCACATGTAAACCTGGGAAGAAAAAAATCATGGCAGTTCAGAGGAATGTTTCTTACAACACAAATACAAGCATTCGGGGTCTTCGATCAGTACCGTAGAAAGGAAAGGTGTCAAACATACTGACCCTCCACCAGCACCTATCAGTCAGGAAAAGAGGCTTCGGCTTTGTAATAATAAGCTAGTCTAGAATGAGTTCAAGATCAGAATGAGGTAGGAAACCACTTAAGGAGGGAAAGGACCAGAAACACAGAGGAAAGTGAAAGGATAAAGGTAGTAAATTGCCAGGGAAAAGACCTAAGAGTTGAAATATATTGTTTACCTTTTACTACAATAATGCAGTCGTAGAAAATAGCTACACACATTAACACCCCAAATAAGGTCAAGGAAATTAATTCCTTTGACTTCCAAGGAAATCAATTCCTTTGGCTTCCAAGGAAATGGATGAGGCTCTGTGTTTGATTTGTCAAATGCACAGAGGTCTCTGACTTCTCATTTTTCCCTTAGAATATTAATATCCAGTAAATTTTTCAATGTTCCTCTACAGAAATAATGTCATTTTACATTAGAGACAAAAACTACTTGAAGACAAGGAGTCTTTCCTTAATACAACAGAACTGCTGAGACATAGGAATAAATTAAGCAGAATGAGGTCAAACATCCCTGAGATAAATTTGACCCATTTTAAAAATAAGATAGAACAGAATAAAAGGTAAACTTCTAAAGCTGACTAAATTCAAATACTCTGGCCTTTGGAAAATTCAGACTTAGTTCTCCATTTTGAATATATATCTTGCACAGCAAACAGGATGATGTGCAGAACCGTTGGATTAACATCCACGGCTTGGATTTAAGAGAGCTGAGCAATTACGGCAACAATCGACATCAGTGAGAAATATGGAGTTTAATTACAGGTTTTTAAAATCTTGGCTTTGATGTTAGTAATATTTACGTGGATATTTTGTATCCCTGACTATCAGTGACTCTGTGTTTCAAAACGCACCTTTTTCTTTGCCAGCCAGGCTTGGAATGTCATACAATACTTCAGACTCAACAGCCCCCACACAGAGGATTATGGTGAGCCACGCACGGTTTAAAGACACCGGCAGGAAGTGGGTGGTGTGATCTGGCTTCCCTGACATTTTAACATTGCTGCCTGTACTCATATCATTTTGCTTCATTGTCATTGTCTTTGTTAGCCCTTCATAATGTTTCATAAGGTAATGCAGTTAGACAGCCTGGGAGCACAGTTCTGTACTAGGAGATGCATGGGAGTAAGTTCGAAGTGCTCTTTTAAAGTGTCAGGCTGGTGACGATAGAAATTTAGGTCATCTGTTTATCCACAGAATAATGAAAGCAGAAATGCTTCCCTGCGGTTATAAGTAAACTTGGACTTCAAAAGGCATCTTCCTGAGATAGGAGAGTTTGTCTGAGAAGTGCAATGACTGATGTTCAGTTATCTAAGTCTAGGTGTGTAGATCCATTTTACGTTAGAGATATCCCACCTAGCTTACAGAAAACACGTGAATATTTCATGTCATACCTGTCAGCACCCATATGGACATCTTGCATATTCTGAGGTGCCTAAACACCAGCTTTGGACAAGTAAGACCCACCTCTAGTGATATCTACTTCATTCTGTTGTAATAAATGCTAGTCCCTTGGAAATGGGGCCAAAACCACAGTTCATTTCACATAGATCAGTGAAATTCTGCGAGGTGATGTACCTAGCAAATACAGTTCTGGTAACTGTGGTGATACTGCGTATGGCAATATTATAATCTGATACATCCTATGTGGCACAAGATATGAAAAAGTGGGATTTCTGAGAGAGCTGAATTTGAGAGACAACCACCAATGTTAACGAGGTTTATTTATTCCTTTCTTTCAATTGTCCTGATGAGCACACACAGTATGCTCCAGTGTTGTGCTACTCAGGGTAAAAAGCCCAGCTATATCTCAATCCCATGTCAGAACAAGACTTGGTTATGCACCGTTCACCCATACACCTATTTCCTTTGGAAGGGAGTGCAGGTAAGTGGGCAGGAGGGGAAGCACAGTGTTTACTAAAAGGCCATTTGGACTAGACAACAGGAGGACCAATTCTGCAGGGCACAATGCTGAGTGTGTCTACACTGTAATCCACATTTCACTGTTTTATTTGGAACTATGGAAACTAATGTCTTTTTCCAACTGCTGACAATTTGGGAAGGATTTGAATCATCAGTAAGAAAACACAATCTGTCTGCATCCCATTAACAACCTCCTCAAAAAACTTTTGAAAAAAACTCCTCAAAGAGCTTTTGTAAAACTTCGTTTGGTTGATCGTCTCTATTGAAAGATGCTAACGATTCACTTACCTGTTCTGATTGTACTGTACGTTCTGTGTCAGATCAACATTCAGCATAATGAAATCATGCACATGGCAGCAGGAGAATGGTTCCTTGATCTCAGCACTATTCGTTTTACTGGACCATTTCCTCATCCCAATTAAGGCATAGTGAGTGACATTGGGAGTTGCTTCAATATGTTGCAGAATTTGCTTCAAGGAGACATTCCTTTCAGTCCACGTATAGTCACTGCAATAATTACAAAAATGTGTTAATTTTAAAGTATATAGGTAATATTCAGAACCTCATTCAGTTGAAAATTAAGTCTTAACAATCAAAAGTAGTTATGAGTATCAGGTGGATGACTTCAGTGTTGTCTTACTTTAGTGTAACTTTTTGTCTCTTACTCTAATCAAAACTTAAAATTAACTAGTGCTTATGTGGTGGTATGACAGATCTGAAACTTAGTCTGGATCTTTCAAAATATTCACTCAGATATGTAAACTTTTAAAGTTATCTGCATAATGTTCCAAATGACTCCTGGAGAGTTGATGACTTTATGCCATAACTTAAGTGCAAATTATAAGATCCTTCTAGCCCATCCCTAGAGTATATAAATCTCAGTGAAAACTGAGTTCAGTTCTCTTTGAAGGTTTGCTGTAAATTCTGCATAGCACCGTTCTGGGAATAGATAAAAATATCTAGTACAAACAATGTTCTGAAGTAATGAAAACAAAACCACTTGTTTGCGGATTTGGAGAGCTAATGAAGGAGCCATACAAACTGGGACTGACAAAAAAGCCAGAGGAAATCACTTTCACAATTTTCACAGAAATATCTTTTAGCTTCCTTTAGAAAAATCCTGTTAAAAATGTACATGTGAATGCCCCTGCTTGCTCAGTGTATCAGGGATTGTTTATAAAATCTGAAATCTGCAGTCCAAGTAACTCTAGTTTGAACAGGAGTTAAGCTATACAGCAAAGGCTGCAGGGTACTGAAATCCTCAAGGGACAGGAGTGAAAAGCAGGCACT